TACTATGCATTATTTTCATCTCATCTTAGTTATTGTTGTCAAGTTTGGGGTCAAACTGGCAACTATTATTTTAACAAACTAATGTCATCTTAACGCCAATCCATTAGAATAATAAACTTTGAACCTTTCAAATCAGATACATCAGATTCTTTTAAAAAACTTAAAATTCCAACCTTTCATTTGCTAGTAAAGTTTGCTAATCTTCTTTTTGTTTTTAACTCTCTAAATAAAAGTTTACCTTCTTTTATCGCAAATTTTTTTATAGAAAGTAGACTAATTCATGCACTACGTGAAATATAAATAATGGAAAACTTATTGTACCATCATATAAAACTCAAAAGTATAGTAAGAATTCTGTTGTGTATCGGTGCATCTTTGAATGGAACAAGAGTCTTGTGTGCATTGTGAATGAGTTTAATAAACTCCAACTCTAAACTCCTTTGTCATCTTTTCTTAATCTTAATCAAAATCAATTTAAAAAAATTCTGAAAAATATTTTGTTATAATTTTTTTTCTATTACTATAATAATTATCCTTATTTTTTGTTTGTTTTTCTTTTCTCTTTTATTATGACATACATATTTGATTTTAAAAAAAAGTTTACTTTATGTGTGTCTGTTTATGTTTTATGTCTATATGTTTATTATTAGTCATATTATTTTGAAAAATGGTGTCACTCCTTTATTCAGACTTCTGTATGAGTGACACCATCCATACTAATCCTTAACTTATTAATAAGAAATAACATATCATTTTACTTATTATTATAGTAATTATATTTTATTTATAATTTTTTTTTTTTTTTGTTATTATTATTATTATTGTTATAAATTATTACTATTGCATATTATTTTATAATTATTGTTTTTATTATTTACCTTATTGTAAAAATAATTTTAAAATGGAAAATAAATAGCTTGTTGTTGTTGTTGTTTTTGTTGTTGTTTTTGTTGTTGTTGTTTTTGTTGTTGTTGTTGTTGTTGTTGTTGTTGTTGTTGTTGTTGTTATATAACATGCATGTTTTTGCATTTTATTAATAATATTAATAACATGCTGGAAAAGTTTATGAGGCATGTATGCAATATAAAATACCAGTACAAAGCAGCATCAGAAATAAAAAATAACTTGGGGCCTAGGGTTATTTTCATTCATTATGGTTTTTCAGAAAATTACTATTGCAAAAAACTCAAAAGAATACCAATCACTCCACTTTGTGAATCAAAAAACCAAGTGTCAATCCATACATACGTTGTGGTGTACTGTTACAGTACTTCTGAAAACAAAGTAAAGGAGAAATTTCCTTAGCAATAGTACTGCTCAACAGTACAGAAACAACTACATGTTTTATTTAGTAGGTACTTTTTTTTAAAAGAGTTTGTAGCTAAAACAATGAGATAGGATTTCAGAGAAAAAGGGTACGGAAAAAGTGCCCCTGATGGAATAGGGGGTTCTATCAAAAGAACTGCAGACAGATAAATAGGACAAATAGGAATGATGTTCTTGGTATTGTTTGTTTGTTTGAAGAAATAAAAGAAAAGTGTCCAAGTATAACCATCTATACTATTAACAACACAGATTTCAATCTCTATGAGAAATGCGTCTATTAAAATTAATGATTTTGTGATAGTGAAGTTTCAATCTTCAAAAAAAAGTGTGAAAACAATGTTGGGTTAATTCAAGCCTTAGATGCAGATGAAAATGTGTTGGTCATAAAGTTTTTGAGAAAATCTGGCCAGGAATTTTTCGGAGATAGATGATATCTCTGTCATCAATTAGAGTGATGTAGTGTTTAGATTGTGCCAGCAGAACCTCAACAACAGGGGACAATATAGTTTTCTACAAGACTAAACAATCAAAAACATTTGCTAATTTACTTACTAGTAATACTTAAAATCTTGTAAAACTTGTACCAGGTGCTATTTTATTCCAACTATTAAAAACTATTGATCACAAATAATTATTATTTTTGTAATTTACCTGACAGACACTTACAGCTGTTACAAAATAAAGTGATACTACTCTTAATGTCATGTCAGTGGTAAATTTGTCACATCTGTGGATTACGCTAATAGTTTTTAATTTTTTTATTGTAAACTGACATTTAACGAGTTGTGTGGATACTTACAAATGATAAAATATACTCAAAGCAAAAACAATAAAAATTTTGGTTTGGAAAATTTAATTTTACACTTTTTTAAAATTAACTATTGAAAATTCTACTTTTCAGGAGAATGGCTTATATCAGCAATAAATGTTAAATGTTATTTTAATAAATCTATTATTAAAATAACATTTCCTAATATATTTTATATTTACAATATAAAATATATAAAGAAAACAACAATATGTTAATATCAGTCATGCAAAGTTCTATCAATTTTAAACTCTACAGCAAAATTCTACAGCTCCAGTGTTAAAAATAATGGACTTCTTGGGTTCTAGATTTTTTTTCAATTTTTTTATTTATAAAAAATTGTTTGTTATTTGGGCCTCAGCCATGGCTAAGTATTGGATTTTTTACATCTCTAGATCTTGCTAAACAAAAGTAATACCTCACGTTGTTAGCCAGAGATGAAAATCAATGTTTTTTTCTAAAGTCTAATATGTTTCCTGCTCAATTTTAACTGAGTTTTAAGAAACACTGTACCTCAGCTATGAAGTCTAAAACATGTTCAGTTTTTCAACATTATTCATCATTTTGATGCTACTCTGCTTATAAAGTGAGTTAGTATCACTAAATCTAGAATATGGCAAATGCAGCCTATGCTTTCAAAACTAGCAAATTTTGATGCTTAAGTTGTATCAATACTTGCCTGATAACAATGTGAATATTATTTCATGCTCAGTATTTGCACATGTTTTTTAAAGCTTGCAAAATATTTAACCCATTATGGGATATTTTAAATAGAATACATCTGAGTACTACAATTTTTTTTTATAAAATTCTTGGTTATTTAATGAGCAATAAATGACATTAATTACAAAAATCGTTATTTGGTGAAGTCTAAATATCAGCAGTATTAGCATATGATGAGGCATTTAGTATCGACTTTACTCTAATTTTTTAAAGATGATTTATAAGTTTTAAAGGCTGGTCATTTGAAACTGTTTTATATGTTTTTAAAGCATCACGTAATCAATATTTTAACGAATGTTCTTATTTAATCTGGTAAGAACCATCATAATTTCATTTTACATGCATTTTTAAGGATTCTTTAAAAGTTAACTGTTTAATGGAGGCTTGTTTGTTAAAACATAGCCTTTTTTTTTCTTTATTTTTTTTTTTAGTCTTTTTCAACCCAATTGCAAAACATCTTTGTGTTCTGATTGCAAATAAATAACAAGTTCATTGAAAAACATTCATAAGCAACTTTAAAATAATCCCAAACTGCTCTTTTGGCCATTATCTACAACAAAATAAAGTAGTGTAAATAAATTAATATTAATAATGCGTGAAAAAAATAAAAAATGTAAATAGATTAATATTAGTAATGTATAAATGACAATCTCTTTTGATAATTATGGCCAAGCCTTCCCAGGTAACTTGTGTGGTTTTGTCTTGTATAAACACACATGAATATTTTATTTTAGACAATTTGGTCACTGCTGTTTGCAAGTTTTATTTATATTAAGTGTTGCGGAAAAAACTTTAAACAAAGAAAGCAAAACTAACAAAATAGGAAATTAAAATAAATTTAAATAGAAAAAAAAATTAATAATTTGAATAATTTGTGTAACATTTTTATTTTTGTTTGTTTATGGTGGTTGTTATTTTCAGCAACAAAATTGGATAAGGTAAAAAAAAAAAAAAAAAAAAACACTTTTAAGTGAACATTAAAAAGAATAGCTTTCCTATATTTTATTTATTTTATATTTAATATATAAAACAAATAAAATATAGAAAAATTATTTATTTATGCAAATATATTAATATAAAACAAATTAATATTTTATTTGTTTTATATATAATATATTTGCGTAATTTTTATGTAACAAGTATATTTTGTCCTTATTCGTCTATGTAATGCATGAGTATATTTTTATGTACAACTTTATTATATAATTATATTTATATGTTAATAAGGACGTGTGCGTTTAGCTTATTTGGATAAGGCATTTACTTCATTCATATATATATATATATATATATATATATATATATATATATATATATATATATATATATCAAAATCAATTAATATCTAAAATTTCATTACTATCCAAGTTATCATTGAACTTTTATAAATATTTTTTTATTTATAACTTTATAGTAATATGCTTTTAAATATTTTATTTAGTTTGTTGTTAAGAGTAGCATTTAAAACATTTTCTTAACAATCTTGCATCAATGCAGGTTTGAATATATAGTGCTTTAGCACAATTAGACTTCTAGCTATAAGTGCAGATAAAAGCTTTATATACCCCATGGAGTGTTATTGTTCTTTCTGGTATATTCTGTAAACGCTGCAAGTTTTTGCTTTCACTGGTTTCACTGGAAACAACAAATTTAAACTAATGAACTTATAAAAATTAATTTTTGAATTATGCACTTTAGAAGTTAAAAAAATAAAAGTCTCATAAATTGGCCAAAATTCAGGACTGTCAAACTTAATTTCTTGACTTGAAATTTGGGTTTTTTGGGCTTAATGATAAGACGAAGTTTGTCTTCTTCTAGCCCCGGTCATGTAATTATTTTTTATAAGTTACTATTGTAAATTCTTTTTATCAGCAAAGTGTAAATAAATAAAACTGAAGCATTACTTTTTTGTTACTTGGTAATGTAATACAAATATAGTAAAGTACAGTTATATTTTTATAGATTATATATATAATAAATACAATTCCTATTTAACTTATTTATTTATTATAATAACTGATACAGAAAAGTTTGTAGTACACATCAAGTATACAGATTACAAGTACACAAAATACAACAATAAAAACTACAAAAACACAAATTAAATGGACATTAAATTGTAGTACACTGTTTTTAATTATAGCATTTCAGCTTAGACTTCACACTTCGCATGGTTTGGAATGACAAAAGACTTGTTTTTAATGAAGTTAATCATGATGTTTATATTCCCTTGTATGCAGAGCTATCAAAAAGAATATGGATTCCAAGTATTTATTTTCCACTTGGCAAAAAGGGAACATTCCATGATCTTCTTGCACGCAATGTTTTTGTTTTCATTTATGGAAATGGAACAGTCAAGTTTACTCAAAGGTAAAATAAAGTTTAGGTAAAATATAAAAATTTTCAAGTATTCATTTTTAGCATAAAAATTTTAATTTAAATAAATTAATTTGTATAATATAATCTTGTAATACATAAACAATAACTAATAAACTGATTATAGATAATTCACTAGACCTGATACACTTAATAGTTTAATGCATTTAGATTAAGAATCTTATCGTTTTGTCCAATGAACTTTAATTTTTACCCATTTGATATTCAAGAATGCAATTTTAAATTATCTACTTGTAAGTGTTTAAGTTATCTACTTGTAAGTGTTTAAGTTATCTACTTGTAAGTTTTTAAAATAGTATTTAGTTATTAGTTGTTGCTTATTTATTATTTATTTTATTGCTTTATTTTATTTTTAATTGTTTTAATTACTTTATTAACTTTTTATAATTTTTCTATATGATATCATATATTTATGTATGTATGTATGTGTATGTATGTATGTATGTATGTATGTATGTATGTATGTATGTATGTATGTATGTATGTATGTATGTATGTATGTATGTATATATATATATATATATATATAGATATAGATATACATATTTATATATATACATATATAATATATATATATATATATATATATATCCATATAGTGTAGTCGAAAGAGCGTTTTAATGTAAAAAAAGTCTCTTACGACTACAATTTTAATTACCTCGTCTCTTAAGCTGTATTTGATTGTCGTCGAAATGTCAAAGCAATTAAATTAATGCGGAAGTACATTAAATTTTATTGTTTTTTAAAAGTTTTTTAAAAAACCGCAATTATAACGACTAGAAATTTTTTTTTTATTAGTGATGTTTTTGTTTTTATTTTATTTAAAAACATTTATAAAACATGCGTAAATGTTGCTACATCGACTATCTTATAGCCTGACTCGCAACGGAGTGCTGCTACATCAACTGACAAATAGCCTGACTCGCAACGGAGTGCTGCTACATCGACTGACAAATAGCCTGACTCGCAATGGAGTGCTGCTACATCGACTGACAAATAGCCTGACTCGCAACAGAGTGCTGCTACATCGACTGACAAATAGCCTGACTCCCAAGAGAGTACTGCTACAACGACTGACAAATAGCCTGACTCGCAAGGGAGTGCTGCTACATCGACTGAGGGTTTGGTTGGAAGGAAAATTTTGGTTTGGAACAACAGGCTTAATCTGGAAGCGGAAGCGATCGCTCTTAAATACTGACAACGGAAGTTATATTTAGTTGCGAAAAACTGGCCAGTCTTTTTAGCCATTTTGAAAACATTTAAGTTTATGTATGAAACAATAAAATTTTGTTTTACAGACATACATGGAAACATAAAAAACTGTTCTCAAAACATATTGGTGCATGAAAAAATGTTCTCAAAACATCTTAGTGCGAAAGAATAAAAAGAATATTCGCAAACACTAAAAACCGGTCAAATTAACGAACAAACTAATTCTATTGGTTCAAAAATACGTTGACTAAGCGAAATAAATTTTTAGAGTATTCTATTGAAATGTTTTAGAATTTGTATTATTCACGATTTGTTATGTTTTAAGATTTCTAACATAAATTGTCTTAAGAGTATATTATCAATGCTATGGCTCATCCTCGGAGCCACATCTACAAAGCTATAAATCTTATCAACTATTATTATTTGTTTACAAAAATAAATGTTTTAAATATATATTATTTAAGTTGTCAAAATTTTGAAAGTTTATTATAGATTATAGATTTTATTGGTATATTCTTATTTTTATTTAAAAAGTATGTATTCTTTATGTAAATGTAATTTTGTAATCTTTTTTTTATTGTAATGTATCTTTTAAAGCAATTTTTATGATTTAATTTGTAAACAAAGACTTACAAAAATATTTGAGTTTTCAATGAAGTTAATAATCATCATTAAAGTTAATAAAACTAATTATGTAACAAATATATAAGAAGTTTCTGATTACTAAACACAAACAACACATACAAAGTAACTCGCTGATGAACAAGCACCGCGCCTAAGGTCATGACAGAACATAAATATATCTAGTAAATTATTAGATATAAAGTAAAGTTTCTAGATATTGGTTTACTAACTCTAATTATTTTTGATTCAGTTGCCATTCTTAAAAACTCATTATTCTTTTTTCTGTTTTAAATACTAATTAAAATTAAAAAGCCCACTCACTAAACATTATCAGCGATATTGTGAAGCAGGAAGTTTCACTTCCTCGTCATATAGTATTTTTAACCTTTTTAAGTTGATTTCTATCTAGGTAATTTAATTTCTACAGCAATTCAATGATTTAATTATTTCATTTGTTTATCTTACTAAGAAGAATTGCTTTAAATATGTTAAACTATTCAAACTACGCGAAACATAAAATAGGTAATAAAAAAATTAACTTTTTTATTTATAAAATAATTTAGCTCAAATAAAACTAAAACATGCAAACTTTGTTAAATAAAGAACATTTGTTTCCTTTTTAAACAATCGTAAGATGTTAGTTTATATAAAAAACGTTGCTTAATTTTATAAAAAAAATTATGATAGAGTGACGTTTTGAAAATATTTGTTCTAAACGTAAGTTTTTTTGCGTTAAAAGATTTTTTTTTTTCCTATTTTTTTTTTTTTTTGTAATTGGCTCTCATCAGTCCAATTAATCTTTAGCGCAATTTTTTTTTGGTTTTCAAAATGTTCTCAAAACGACTAAAAAATCTGGTTAGCTTTTCGCAACTAAATATTATTGCCGTGTTCAGCAATTGAAAGCGAACGCTCCCGCTTCCTGACCAAGCTTGATATTATATATATATATATATATATATATATATATATATATATATATATATATATATATATATATATATATATATATATATATATATATATGTTGTATCTTTATAATACAGGCCTTGGTGGGAGTAAATAGGCACAAGAGCGGAGAAAAGCTCTCTTATAACCAACATGGCAAGCCATGTGAGCTGCTCCTTTAAACTGCTTTTTACGAGAACCTTTTGTTTGCACAAGCTATCTGTTTATTTGTATAAAAGTTGCTAATTAAATACAAAATTTGGTTTTATACTTATTACTAGCATATGTTTGCAACATTAATTTTACAATAATATGCACATAACAAGTATTATTTGTTGCGCTGTGAAAAAAACTTTGCACAAACCATGTCTTTTTATTATACAATGAATTAGATTTTTTTGACTTTTTATATTTCATTTTAGTTACAATGATAATTAAACTTTTAAGAAAAAAAAAACTTTTGCAAGAGCTGTAAATTGCTCCCGTTTTAGGTTTATGGGAGCAATTTACTGCTCCTGTAAACCTAAAACCTAGCTCTTGCTTGTGCCCACGGTGCCTTAATATATATATATATATATATATATATATATATATATATATATATATATATATATATATATATATATATATATATATATATATATATATATATAATATATTACATATATTAAGGCACTGAGGCCTGTAATATATTATATATATATATATATATATATATATATATATATATATATATATATATATATATATATATATATATATATATATATATATATATATATATATATATATATATATATATAATATATTACATATATTAAGGCACTGAGGCCTGTAATATATTATATATATATATATATATATATATATATATATATATATATATATATATATATACATATATATATATATATATATATATATATATATATATATATATTACATATATTAAGGCACTAAGGCCTGTAATATATTATATATATATATATATATATATATATATATATATATATATATATATATATATATATATATATATATATATATATATATATATAATATATTACATATATTAAGGCACTGAGGCCTGTAATATATTATATATATATATATATATATATATATATATATACATATATATATATATATATATATATATATATATAATATATTACATATATTAAGGCACTGAGGCCTGTAATATATTATATATATATATATATATATATATATATATATATATATATATATATATATATATATATATATATATATATATATATATATACATATATAATATATTACATATATTAAGGCACTGAGGCCTGTAATATATTATATATATATATATATATATATATATATATATATATATATATATATATATATATATATATATATATATATATATATATATATGTATATATATATTGACAACAAAAGATTTCACTTTATTAACAAAATGTCTGTTTTTATTTTTAATTCTACTTTATTTTTTTTATTTTATTGCTTTTTTTTTTTTTTGACTCATTTATTTAAGGATTTTTCACAGTAGAGTGAACATTCTTTGACTGACTAAAATAGGGAAAACATACGAGTGTACATACATTACTGCTTAATTAGAGTACAAATATCATTTTAACCAAGAAGTATTTTTGACTGTTGTGTCAATTGATAAACAATCAACATAGTCAAAAAGTTCCAAATTTTGTAAGGTTTTTTTAATTACTTTACCAAGTGACTCAGCTTTTACAATTAAAAGACCCAAAAGTTTGAAATTTGAAAGAGTTGAGCTTTAACTCTTTTAAATTTCAACTTTTCTACCATAATCTTAAAGTTAAAGTGAAGAAAATAAGACTTTTATCCAAATGATTTTTGAATCAGAGTTATGCCTGACTTACTATGGATTGTTTCTAGTACTATGAGTTTTTTCGATGGGTTATTTTTACAGTTACTAAATAAGTTATGTAAGTGAAGATATTTTGAAATTAGATCGTTATAAATTAATAATATTCAGAAATTTTGTCTTGTCAGTAAGTATTTTTACTGACAAGACAAAAGTGCCCATTTTTAGCACATATACTTGACGATTTTTTATGTTACACCTTTGAGGTGAATCAACTCAAATTTGACAGATTGCAAAAAAATTTTGAAGAAAAAAGCAACAAAAATGTTTGATTGGGACTCTTATCACTTTCCTGTTTAAAATATTATTTTTAAAAACAGCTGCTTAAGGCAATAGGGTTTAAATATTACTTGCATGAATGTCTATTCTTGTTGCTATATGCCAAATTCTTAAGTAAATAGAAATGAGCTAAGTAAATATATCTACTTCAGAAGTGTTTACGAATAAACAAGCATTAATAAGAAACATTATCTAAAAGTTTTTTCAAACTAGACAAATAACTGATGGAAATATTAGCCTGGCTAAATAAATTTGTAGATTTTGAATGTTGGTATGGCTTAATAAATTTGTAGATTTTTTAAATTCACAAAAAGGTCATTTAAAATTTGATAATTTAAAAATTTATACAATAACCTTAAAATAATAAAAGAAAAAATTCAAACTCTTTTGTGGTCCACAATAAAATAACATTAAGTAAGTTCATTAAATTTATGTGGATATGGTAAGACAAATATCTTCAGATGTTGATTGTTTGTCTGGTCAAACAAATAATTACTTTGTTAAAAACTAAATTATAAAATCAAGCCATGATTTATATAGTTCTTAGTTTGTACTAATCTTTAGAACTTATAATAAAATAAAGTTGAAAAATTAATGGTATCAAATATATTATTATAAAAGTTTTTTCCGAAAGTTGATTTTTTACAAAAGTGTTACATTATTAGTTATAATTATTTATAAGTTTATTCAATATATGCTATATTAACAATATTATGTTACGTTATGCAGTTTTTAAAATATAATATTATGTATATATTTATTTAATGTATTTTATGTTATCTTGGGGTGTTTTACAGTCTGCTATATATAATTTCTGTGGCACCTGTTTTAAAAACATGATTCTAAAGTTATATTTTTTTTTTTTTATGTATCATATAAGCACTTTTATTGAGATTTTTAATTTTTGTTGATTTTTTATATTTTGTTTTATTTTATCAATATAGATTATTTATAAATGTTTTCAGTTTATTCAAAGTATTTTATTTCTTTAAATGTATCTAGTTTATTTTTAAAAAATTTGATTTATAGAGAACATAATTGTTTTAACTAGTTCCTAAATCATCAGACTATGTGCGTTTGAATTGGAGTGATGTTCCAATAGAAGGTAGCAAAAAAAACCTGCACATACCAGATTACAATGAGGTTAAAATTACTACGAATAGCACAACAGAAGCTGGAGATTTTGATAGTGAGTGATATATCTCATTTTTTAAACTTTTTAAGTTCAAATATAAAATATTTGTTATTAATAATTAGTTAAGATCTTACTTAATATAAATAAAAATATTTGGGCAGATAAAAAAAATGTTCGGGTAGATGAAAAAAAATGTTTAGGCAGAACTTTTTTAAATAAAACAAAATAATAAATGTATGCCAACATAAACAAACTTTGTTGTTTTACTCCAAGCTCACGGTCTCCACAGTAGCAATTCTCTCCAAGTCTTTAATAGATACGCCACAATCTACAGACTCAAAAAACTATAGCAAAATGTGAAATAGGGAGGGGGTAGAAAGGTTGAAATTCAGGCATACATATATTATTGGCGACCCCTTATTTGCTAAACTTTTCATCAGGTTATATATATTCTCAAAATACTTATTTAATCGAGCAAGGTACATTTAATGAAATTGCTATAAAACATATATTGCTCATTTTATTTTATTTTTAAAGTTAAATAATTACTGTTAAAGATTGCAAAAATGTTTAGTATTATCGAGTCAATTTTGAAATCGAAATCTTTTAACGAAAAACCTTTCATCAAGCCTTTCCAGGAAAGGTGTTCGGTTTTTCGTCATGACCGCGAAAACATTTTTCAAGTTAGAAAAGGTGATCACGGCCATTCGCGCAAGTATATATATATATATATATATGCGTTGCTGAAAAATTGTTTTAAATTTAATAGCTACATAAGAAATTAAAGTAAACTTAAATAGAAAACAATAATAACAGTTGAAATAATTTGTGTGTTGTTTTTATTTTTTTTTTCTTAGTTGATATTATTATCAGCAACAAAATTCAGTAAGTCAAAGCAAAAAAAAAAAAAAAGGTTTTAGGCATTAAAAAGGATGAATTTCCCATTTTTATGTTTTTTCTTTTAAAGAGAAAAGAGAAAATATGCATCGTCATCTGTTTGTAAAATATATTTGTATAATTATAATGTAACAAGTTTATATCAAGAGTTAAATTATACGATTATCATTTGCAAACTCTGGTAAAATATTAGATCTTTAAATTTTTAGTTCATGCAAAGCTGTGTACTTTGTTTATAAGGAGCAAATTATTAAAAGTTTGCTAGCAAGAAAGTTACAAAAAACAAAACAAAAACAATAAACTTATGACTACAAAAGTAATAACACTTTAGTCACTAACTGCATTATAAAAGTAATAAAACTATAATAGTGTTATTACATTTATAAAGCACTTATTACTTATAAAGTTCATTCTTTGTTCAAATAATAATTCCAAACATTTATTAAAGTTCAAATTAATAATTCCAAACATTTATTAAAGTAGAAAAGTATCTAGAAAAAATAAAGCGGATATTCAAATATTTTTAAAAATTTCAGGAACTTTCACATATCACTTGAACAACGTTATAAGAAAGTACTTTATAAAAAGTATAGCATTATGAAAAACGTTACATAAAAACGCACATTAATTTTAAAAACAACCAATAAAAAATTTTATTGGTTAATTTTAAAACTAACGCGCGTTTTTATGGTCCATTAGTAACATTTTTCATAATGCTATACTTTTAATACGATACATTTTTATAAACTTGTTTGTCAGGTTTTTTTTATAAGTTATTTAAGTTTTAAATATTTTTCGAACATCCACTTTATTCTTCTAGATATTTTTCTACTTCAATTAAAATTTGGGAATACTAATGTTGCTTGAACAAAGAATGAATTTTAAAAGTTATAAGTCATTATAAAAGTAATAATGATATTTAACTGCATTATAAAAGTAATAGTGTTATTACTTTTGTAATGCAGTTAGTGACTAGAGTGTTATTACTTTTGTAATCGTAAGTTTATTGTTTTATTTTTTATTTTTTCGCTTAACAAATTTAACACAGTTTTGTATAAACTAAAATTTTGAATACTAGATATTTTTCCAGATTTTGCGTTTCGCATTCGCTTAATTCAACCCTTACCTTTCCTGGGAAGGCTTGTTTCATTGTCAATTTTGCTAGTTTTTTGTTAAGAAAAATGTAAAATACTTTCCAAATACAAAATAAATTAGGAAATATTAAATATAATATGTTTTTAAATGCGCTCTTTAACACAATAACAATTTTGATTGCCATCTGTCCATGAAGTCCAAATTTACCCTCTACATGTACAGAACGTAAATGTGGAGAGTAAATTTGGATATATATATATATATATATATATATATATATATATATATATATATATATATATATATATATATATATATATATATATATATATATATATATATATATTTTTTTTTTTTTTTGCTTTGACTTACTGAATTTTGTTCCTGATAATAATAACCACTAAGAAAAAACAAAAATAAAAACAACACACAAATTATTTAAACTATTATTAATGTTTTCTATTAAATGTATATATATATATATATATATATATATATATATATATATATATATATATATATATATATATATATATATATATATATATATATATATATATATGTATATATATATACATACATATATATACATATGTATATATACAGTCTTCTTCGTTTGACGAGCACTTTTGCAGTTTTGCGCTCGTCCACACGCCCGCCAATACTACTGCTGGCACTTTTTTAAGCCCTTGCTAGACAAATAGCAGTTGTGTTCAAACATATATAAAAACCTATTTAGATGTTGTGACCCAAACAGAGTTACCTCCAATTAATAAAGACATTAATTTTGATTCCATTGCATCTACCTATATTTGTTCTGGCATTGAAGTGTTTGTGGTTGACACAAAGGGCGAAATAAATAATATGGGAATTGAGATGATTACTGGTGATGAAACATTTATTAACAGCGCAAATGAATCTAAAGAAATTATTTCTGACTTGCTAGCTTCTTCTTAGGAAAATGATAAGGAAGACAATGATTGTGTACTATCAGCATAAGATGTTGAGAGTTGTACAAGTGAAGAAACTGGCGAAAAGCAAGAAGTGTGTAGTGATATAAAGTACAAAGATCGGACACTATTTGTTTTTGAGAAAAACTTGTAGGAAAAACTTTTATGTCACTGTCCAGTATGTGGTGCTCCTGTTGACAGATCAGACATTGAGGAAGTTAAAGGTAATTGATCGGATTACAACATAGGAAAATGATAAAAATGTTACAGACCAGAAAGGTTGTTTCACTTGTTGGTGATGAGAGATGTGACAGTCCTGGTCATAATGCAAAATACTGTACATATACATTTATGGAAACTGAATCTGGGTGTGTAGTTGACACAGTTGTAAAATCAGTGACAGAAGTGCAGAATTCTAACTGTATGGAAAAAACAGGATTTATTTAATTATTTAAAACACTTAAAAAAGCGGGAATAAAAATTGATTTTGTATCTACTGATCGTCATGCCCAAATTTAAAAACTTTTGAAGGTAGATCCAAGGTTTAAAGATAATTTTTTTTTTTTTTTTTATTTCAATTCACCTCCTCAAGGCCGAGAAGGCCACTACAGACAAGGAGGCTACTTATTTGTGGTTATAACCCTCTCTCAACTCTATAACTCCGAAACACGAACCTTGATGAACAAGGCCGCTGCGTGGAGAAACGAGTTGAGCGCGGTACTACCAGGGACGTGGTGGGGATCGAACTCGGAACCACTCATTTATGAAGCGAGCGCTCTACCACTACACCACTACCGCGTTAAACCGCGTATAAATCATTAATTTGATCCATGGCATGTTGCTAAATCAATCAGTAACAAAATGCACGAAGCTAGTAAAACCATTTCTCAAAAAGACTTACTGGAATGGATTCCTTCAATAATAAATCATTTTTGGTGGAGTATTGAAACATCTAATAAAAACCCACATTTAATGTATGAAATATTTTCTTCCATTTTATACCATATATGAAATGTACATGAATGGGGTGGCTGTTAATATTTTCATAAATGCGAACATGAGCCTTATTCTAAAAAAAATGAATATTCGAAAGTTGGTTGGATGCAGAATCCAACGCTTTTCAGTTTTTAGTTTCTATATTGCAATCAAAAACTTTTATGGATATTTTTAAATATTTAACAGAAGCAATTCAAACTACTAACAATGAAGTTTTTAATAACCTTTTGCTAAAATATGTACCAAAACAGTACCACTTTGAGTATGATCACATAGTAATGGGTGGATATTTGGCAGCTCTGAAAATAATTATTTTAATTTTTTGTTTTAAGTTAAAGCTGCCTTATAAGCAACAATTACCATATGATCATACTCAAATTTTAGAAACTGGTTATTAAAAACTTCAACAGTTTGAATTGGTTAAAATTTTTGATTTCGATATGGAAACTAAAATAAACAGCATTGATGTATATTTCAAATACAGTATAAAAAAGAAGAAAAATTTGATAAAATTAAACGCAGACTTTTTATTTGATGTTTTAACACCTCACCAATTACTGCTGAAATCCAATATAGTAAATATTTTCTAAAACTGATTTGACTAGCTTTCTGCATGATTTTTCCTATTGATTTAGCAACATGTCATGAATCTTATTGATAATTTAAATTGATAAATCACATATGTAACAACCACTCTTGGATTTGGGTAACAATCAGTAGATATTAAATCAAGTTTTATTCCCTTCTTTTTTCATACAGTTAGACTTCTACACTTCTGAAAATAGTATTGTGATTATGTCAGTTACACACCCATATTTGAGTTCCATGATTGTATATGTACATTTGCGTTATAAACAGAACTGTCGCATCACCAAAAAGTAATAAAACTTATCTGGTTATTATCATTTTTATCATTTTCATACGCTGAATTTTCGCAAGTGTGTCGAAAAAAATCTTTATATTATATAACATAAGCGAAACTTTTTTAAAAGAAAACGTTATTCACGAAAATGCAATCAATGCAAAAATAAATTACTGACTCCTTTGAAAATATTTCAACAATTTGTATCTATTATTTTGAACTTCCTTAATGTCAACAAGAGCATTGACAGCGAC